TCCTCTTTCTCCCTTCCCCCCATATACTAATCCCCACCACAAACTCCCGTTTAAACGGATTGTCGTAGAACAGGTTTGACAGACAAAGCAGTTTTGGTTTTAGACTGTCGGACAATCACAGCACCGCTTAACGCCCGCCTCCAGTAAACGATAGGCTGTTTTAGGAATACACAGTAGGTATCACCAAGGACTTTATACTTTACAGACTTTACTAACTGTTCCCTACTGATGTGTCTGTGTTCGCTGTAATGCTTAGCCACTTCGCGCGCCTCTCACGCAAAGAGAACGGAGTTCGATTCCAGCGTCACTCTCTAAAAATACATTCATGTAGATCTAATCAAACGCGCTACAGCTAATAATAATAATAATAATAATAAATGTAGCCAACGATATTTTGAAGACTTTTTATCCGATTATGAAATATAGGGATCATTATAAAGTGCAATCGTAATTGTGAAGTACAGTATAGTGATTGTAATGTAAAATAGGGCTCTCGTTCAATGAAGCGATTGTTGTGTTCAATCTTTGATCAAGTAAATAAATAAATAAATAAATAAGTAAAAACAAATCAATCAATCAATCAATCAATCAATCAATCAATAAACAAAGACAACAACAGCAAGAAAAAAAAAACAATTACAAAAAAAGTAACAGTTATAAATGTTCTTACGGGAATAACAATAGATAAAGAACTTATTCTTTGTATCTCAAATACAGGAGTGATTTTTGAAACACAATATTACAATAATTTGATCTCACAGTACAAAAGCAGATCGCGGTAGTCAGGAACTTCTCAAAAGAAAACTATAGCGTTACAAAATCCTTCGACAACTAGGAGTTCTCAGTGATCATCATGGTGCTGAAAAGTGATTTTCTTTCTGCGAGGAAAGTGTTCCTACTGGTTGTGTTGACGGTTTTGTGTGTGGTTCACACGGCAGTGGGATTCGAACTCTCACCCAACCAGCACGACGCCAAAGCTGATACGGATTATTTTAACGATGCTTACTACAGGAGGTACCCTAAGGTGAGTGGGGAATTATTAAACGCACTTGTTATCTATCTATGTATCTATGTATCTATGTATCTATGTATCTATGTATCTATGTATCTAT